AGCCTCCCAAGTAGCTGGGACTACAGGTGCCCGCCACAACGCCTGGCCATTTTTTGGTTGCAGCCATCATTGTTGTTTGGTGGGTCCGGGCTGGGGATTCGAACCTGCCACCTTAGGTGTATGTGGCTGGCGCCTTAGCCACTTGAGCCACAGGCGCCGAGCCCTTTGCCCACATTTTTAACGTTTGCTATATTTTTTTGGCCCCAGAAGTGCTGGTGTGCCCATGGAGCCATTCGATGAGGACTTCAGTGTGTGAGGTCATGAATGAAGCACAATTTGGGCCATGGGCAAGTGTGAGGTAGGACAGGGCATAGGTTTGGTGTCAACCATAGCTGTGTGTCCTGGTTCATCATGCAGCCTTGTTTAATCCATGTCCCCTCTCTGCTCCTGGTGACAGAGCTTGGTGATCAGACAGGGACAGGTAACCTTAGAGGAGGATGTGGGTCAGGGTCTGGAGGAGGAGAGAGGGGCAGATAACAGTCAGAGGCAGTGGCTGTGGCTGGTGAGGGGTGGCCTCAGCATCTTGGTCCTCACATGATTATCCAGAGCCCAGGACTATCAGTGTAGGTGTGAGCTTGTACCTTGTAATGGCTGAGTCCTGGGTGTCTGTATGGCTCCATGGGGGCTGAGACACAGCCCTTGTTTTCACCTATGTGTCCAGCAGGAGTCAGATGGCCATGCTGTTTCCAGAGCATCCCAGCTTCATGAGGTACTGTGAAGGCAGAGGGACTGTCCTGTCCATGCTGGGTGTCTTGCTCTTGGGCAGAAGGCAGTCCAGGTTAGGGCATGGAGTTCAGCCTGTGGGGTGAACTTGGCCCCAGGACCAGACTGTGTCACATTGTGAAGGGAAGTGATGGAGTGACCTGTCTGGTGGCAGCCTTAGGGTCCCTGAAGTGGCACCTGTCAAGAACCTGTCATAGTCTGGACAAGGCAGTCAGTCAGTCTCCTGGAGTCCTCTTGAGGCATTGGGAGTGGGACTGTGAGACCCCCCGCCACACACAATCATGGTCATCACTGGGGACAGAGAGTGAGGTCTCTGGGCTGAGGATACTGCAGGAAGTTGAGGTGAGGAGGGAGGGGAAAGAGTAAGAAGCTCACAGTGGGTGAGGCAGTGAGGCAGCTGTCGGAGTCCTGAGTGAGGGGGGCTGAGAAGGGCTCCAGCCGATGAGGGGCACGCCCTGTGAGTGGAGAGCCTACAGCCGGGTTTTCACCATTTCTGTGGAGTGTAGACGGCTTATCTGCACATGGGCAGGGGAAGCACTGGGCTGCTGGATGGCGCTGTTGACTACATTAGCCATTGGGGAGTGGTGTCCACCACGGCCTTAAGTGAGGATGCCAAGGCCTGTGCCTTCATGTCATGAGCAAGAAAAGGGGCAAGTTATAGTTGGGGTGGCCCAGAATAGAGGCCAGGGAAGGCTGGTGTTTGATTTCCTCAAAGAAGTGTTGCACTTTAGATGCTATGGAATGGGGTCTGGGTTAGACTCACATGATTACGACTTTAAGGAAGTCACAGAGTGATTGAGTTCACAGAAAAAGTAGGAATCCTGGCACGAGAGTAGCTGGCAAGTCTCCAGAACTTATGTAATTGTCTCGTTGTTTGGGGAACAGAAAGTTGAAATGTTTCAGATTCATGTAGGGTCCAGATTCAGACAATGGGGTGCCCAGGCACTTGACAGAGGTACAGACTTGGAGCTTTTGTTTGGAGACCTGGTGTCCCCTGGAAGCTAACCCATTAAGGAGGTGAAGGGTGTCCTGTAAACACACACCTCTGGGGGCGGGCAGAGCAGCAAGTCACCCTCATCCTTCAGCATGGCTGAATATGTAGCGGACACAGCACAGGCAAGTCTTCGCAGGTGGAGCTCTCAGTGTATCCTGAGGGGCCGGGCAGTTGTGTTGTTAGGTGCCCCAAGTGAAGGCCACAGTTACTGCAGGAACTGTGCCTGCAGGAACGCTAAGAAGGGCACTGTGGAGATGGACAGTTAAAAATAGGCACAGCTGGGACGAAGGTGTGGAAGAAGTGAGATGTGGGAGGTCGGACCATGGTACAGTAGCTCTGTGACCCTGCAGGACACATGACAGGGGGCCAGAACATGCAGGTGTGCAGAGGTATGGACCCAGAGCTGCCATGTGGGACACAGCTTCATGCCTCAGGTGTGAAAGGAGGGGAGCCAGCAAGAAAAGTCAGCATTGCTGAAGAGGAAAAGTATCGGTTTAATGTCCTATTCAGACACACTCCACACAGCCTCCCTGTGCTCGAACATGATTCTCCCCTCCAGAAGTAACCAGCAGACAGTCCAGATAGCACGTACCATAGATTTTCTTCCAGAACCTCCTGGGAGCATCAGAGTTACTTCCAAGGCTCTCCCACTCTGGATGGTGCATTGCTGTCTCTGGAGTTACTTCCTGGTGGCATCTTGGGGGCTTCTCTGGCTGTGCCATTCATGAAACAGCAGAATCCCCAGGGCCACCAGGATCAAGCCAGCAATGCCAATACGGATGAGATTCTCCACAGTGTGATCCTGGGGGTTTGGGGCTGGGGATTGGGGACAAGAGTCAGAGGGCTCAGAGCAGACCAAAGTCATCAGGGTCCCTGGATGATCCCCCAGGTCACCATCCTGTCCTGGACAGGGCCTGACCCTCTGTGCCCAGCTCATGACTGAGAGTGTCTTCTCACTCAGAAGCCTTGGGCTGACTTATTCTGTGAGGGGGTGATGGTGTCAGGTGCTCCTGAGAATCAAAACAGAGAGGAGGGGAAGGGAATAAAGAGCCCCAGGCCCTGCCTTCCCCCTGGGCTCTGCATATTCTGGGTTTCTTTATGACTCATGCCATGACTTTTATGGAACTTACTAAACCCACTCTCTGCTCTAGCAGGTTCCTCTGGTGTTCTCATTGAGTTAGTTCAGCCTCCCTGATGTTCTTTGAATTCAAACTGTGTTTCTGAGTCATTTAGAGAAGAGAGTTGTGCTGGACACTAAGGGCTCAGGACCAGCATTAAAGAAATGATAGGCTCGGCACCTGTGGCTCAAATGGGTAAGGCGCCAGCTACATACACCTGAGCTGGCAGGTTCAAATCCAGCCTGGGCCTGCCAAAAAACAGCCAGGCATTGTGGTGGGTGCCTATAATCCCAGCTACTTGGGAGGCGGAGGCAGGAGACTTGCTTGAGCCCAGGAGTTGGAGGTTGCTGTGAACTGTGATGCCATGGCACTCTACCCGGGGGGACAGTTTGAGGCTCTGTCTCAAAAAAAAAAAAAAAAAAGAAAGAAATGAGGAAGACCTTGTGTCCTCTGTTCTGTGTAGGACACAGGACCACATAAGCTAATTTCTGCAGAAATGTGCATTTCCACTTCTCTGTAGCTGAGGACCCAGGCTCCACGATGCAGAGTTGGTCTCAGAGGCCCCTGAATGTCAGGACCACAAAGCGGGACCGTCAGGGGCTGCCTCTGCTTCCTCCCACCCCAGCCAGGTCACCTAAGGTAATCCTTCCACTCTCTTGTTAATTATTTCTCCAGCAACAAGTGGAATGGACCCACATACACACAAACACACACACAGTAATGTAAATTTTCTAAGTAGTGGTGTTACTGCAGGCTCATCAAACACTATTTCTGCTGTCAGGAGGTATTAGTGCAGGTGAGGAGATCAGTAACATTCATGTAAACAGAGACCATATGCAAAAATTGAGTATATGGATGAATATGAATATATATCATGGAGACATCACACACATCCACATGTAGTTAAAACAATCATGCATAAATATGCATATGGGTAAAACCTTCAAATTTTACTCAGCATGTATTTACATACTTATTATTTATTAATATTTGAAGTGTGAAAGTTGGCATGCAATTTACAAATAAAGTAGTGAAATGTTAGCCGGGTGCAGAGGCTCGTGCCTGTAGTCCCAGCACTCTGGGAAGTGGAGGCAGGAAGGTTGCCTGAGTTCAGGAGTTTGAGATCAGCAGGACCAAGAGCAAGACCCCATCTCTACTAAAAGCAGAAAAACCACCCGGGTATTGTGGTAGGTGCCTGTAGTTCCAGGCCCTGGGGAGGCTGAGGCAAGAGGATCGATGGCTTGAGACCAAGAGTTGTGGTCACTGTGAGTTATGATGCCTCTGCACTGTACTTGGGGTGACAGAGTGAGGCTCACTCCAAAAATAAATAAATAAATAAAAGAGAGTTCTGTTTTCTTATAGTTTATATAAATCATGTAAGTAAATTATGGAAGAAAGGAATTCTGTCCTGCATTAATATGAAATAAAATGAATATAGTCAAATCAGCAGTTTTCTCATATGTACATAGCTGTTATTTGGAAACTATAAAGGAATCAAAGAACTCAGCTATAAATTATTCATGGAGGTCAACATTCCTTCAATTGGAAGGAATATACACAATTCTTAAATCTTTAATGCATCTCCTTGTTAAGTGTGAGAATAGGAAGGCTCCGGGCGTGGTGGCTCATGCCAATAATCCCAGCAATCTGGGAGGCCGAGAAGGTGGATTGTTTGAGCTCACGAGTTTGAGACCAGCCTGAGCAAAATCGAGATCCTGTGTCTACCAAAAATAGAAAAACTGAGGCAAAAGAATCGGTTGGGTTGGAGTTTGCTGTGAGCTATGATGCTACAGCACTCTACTCAGGGAGACAGCTTGAGACTCTGTCTCAAAAAAAAGAAAAGAAAAGAAAAAATAGAATAAGAAGGCTTGATATTAATATGAAATTATTTTCCAAAGCAAGTGCAAAAATTAAATCAAACCCTAACCAAAATGGGAGTGGAATTACTTGTTTTTAAATAACAAATCCATATTATTTAAATTAAATCATTATTTTTTGTATTTGATGACTTCTTTAACCATTTCAGAAAAAGAGAGAGCAACATTAAACATGCAAGCAGAGAAGAGGAGGAGTAGAGATAACTCACACCCAGGATGTGCTCTGAGGTGACCCCCCAACTGGCTCAGTGAGCAGGTGCAGGCCCTCCTTACTCTCAGGTGTGCCCTGAGCACAGAGGCCACCAGGTGAGCACAGGGGAGCCATGGCTAGTGGCACCCACAGCCTGGGGAGCCCATCTCTGAAGAAGTGTCTGGTGTGGGCTCTCCACCCTCGCCTCTGTCAGATCCTACCAAGGCCTGAGCAGCCTCCTGTCCTGTCCTGAGAGGACTCAGGGATCCCCAGTGTGTGGGTGAGGGGCTCCATCCTGGGGGAATCTTGGAAATGAGAAATCAAAGCTGTTCAGGGGATGTCTGTCTGTTCTCTCTCCAAGTCGCCAGCCTGTCCTCCCCCTCTGCCCCAGATCTTCCTGTCTCCAATCAGGCCTGGAAGCCACACCCTGCTGACCCTGCCCATCCTCTTCTTTTTTTTTTTTTTTT